GCTTTCGCGGAGTATCACAAAACAGCGCAGCGAGGATTGTGGAATGGAACATCGATAGTTGGTGGGTAACTTTAGAAAAATGGCTTTTGGTCTGTTGGGATGATGTAGAAGAGTGAAATCTGTGATACCTTTGGGTGATATACAAATTTGCATTTTACGCTCTTCCCTCTCCTTTATAGTTGAAAACTGCAGAGCGTTCAAGGCCTTCATGAGTACATTAGAAATTCCACTGCCCAGGCACTTTTATTGTTGCTCTCTAAGCAACATCACGGGTTTTAGCCTGACAATGCTACGTACAACACTGTGATGTCATGTTATGCACACTTTATTGCACAGGTCTAAAATGAAGGCGAAGCAATTAAACGGATCTTGCGCAGCAGGAGTTTGCGGGCTGGATCACCAGCTGAGAGGGGCGGACAGGACCGCGGGCTGATATTTTGGGGAAAGTTACCTCTCTTATCCAGACGCACACAACCCAGACAATCTAAACGAGAGTTGCGTTTGGGAAAGCACGATCCAGATAAAAGGATCATCCACCGGGTGAAACAATCTCTTCGCACCGATGAAGAACAATGTTAAATGTGCTTTGCAACTCACCATCCGCTCTCCGCAAATCACATACGATGTACAAGGCGGCAAATGCGAAGCGTCGCTGTATTGCGGAGAAGAGACAGGCGCTGTGATCGCTTCAGCACAACGGCGTGCTGCGTTGCCGGGCGGTGATCCGAGCTGCCGGGCCGGCGGCCGAGCGTGCCGAGGCGCTGGTGGCAGGCGGCAGTGACGTGCCGCCACCGAGCGATTTATGGCCGGGGCCGGGCGCGCGGCGGTCCCATTTATACGGCGCTGAAGTGGCCATCCGCCTACCTGGCGACGTCGCGGGAGTGGAATCACCGGGTGCGACCGCCGGACCCTGTGTTTCCGGCTGATCAGGCGATAAGGAGCGCGATAAACGGGCAGGTTAACGATCGCTACGTTTTGCCTGGACGTTATTGGGCGGACTGCGGGTGGAGTCGAGCACCATCATTTGTGTTTGGACGTGACCATCCCAGTTACGTTTTCCGAGCATTATTGTACATTCAATGTAAACGTTCTCGTCGTTTTTTTTTTGGGGGGGGGGGAGGAGGGGAGGAGTCTGGCAAAGCGCCGACGCGTCTGCGTGCCACAATAGTGCGTGTCTCCGTCTGCACGGCCCGTGCCCCCTCCAGCCGTCCGGGCGTGTTATCCGAGCTCCAGCTGCAGCCGAGCTGAGCTATTGTACCGCATTCATTGGCTGGATTTCCAGCGTCGACACCGGCATACCAATCGTGCAGGCTCCCTTTATAAATGGAACACGTATTGTGAACTGGCTCCCAATGGTGGAAAACCACCGCCGTCCTTTGATATATCATCCCGGTACAACGGTTCTGAAAGTTCAGCTTACCCCTGCACGAAGAACGGAATAATGCGGCTTTGCATCTCGCATCTGAATTCATGGGCCAGTCGTGTGTTGCAACTGAAAACATTATTCAAATGGGTCGGCACACCTCTTCCGCCTGAAATTGTTGGATCATGCTTGGGCGGACGTCATGTAAACAGCATTGTGATCGTAATTTACTTGGCATTTCGCCTGTCGCTGGTCTTGTTTGTGTGCGAATAGCATGAAAGTTTTTTTCTGGTTCGGAATAGTGCAGATTCAAAGGGAATGAAAGAAGCGGTGCTAGTAAACTTTCAATGAAAATTATCGCTAATGCCCTGCAAGATGCAACTATAATCCCCCGATTTCTTCGACCTAATGCCCATTCAAAAGAGCACAGTACAAATGCCCAGCCCTCTGCTGACGTGACGTTCCTGCGTTCGGCCTCCCACTCCCACCCTGCCGCGTGACGTTCCTGCGTTCGGCCTCCCACTCCCACCCTGCTGCGTGACGTTCCTGCATCCAGCCTCCCACTCCCACCCTGCTGCGTGACGTTCCTGCATCAGGCCTCCCACCGCCACCCTGCTGCTTCGACTCCTGCTCGCGGCAGTCCATCGTCTCCCCGTTCTGCCCTGTCTAGCCCGCGACCCTCTCGGTGATAGACAAGATCCGTGCATGTCCGAAGCGGTAAACAATGCCTTGTTCCCCATGGAGCCGCCGCCGCCGCGCCCCGCCATCAGAAAGTGGCGCGGCGCCCAGCGTGGCTTCAGCCGTCAGTTACTGTGGTGCAACAGTCATACCACGTCCAGAAAGCGAATGAACGTGCATACCTAGGTTCTCTGGATAAGAGCGGCAGGGTATTTCGAGCTTATGTTGGCTTCTAAGTTAACTTTTATGTGGGGTAGCGGATCCCTGTATGAATGCTATAGTTTTTGCGTCTCCCATGCGTTTGCAGTACGGAAACGCACGCAAAACTGAAACGCATTCACCCCTGGACGTTGCGTTAGAGGGCCAGTGAGCAAACTAAGTCCAACTTTCTCTCTCTCTCTCCCTCTCTCTCTCTCTCACTCTCTCTCTCTTTCTTTCTCTCTCTCTTTCTTTCTCTCTCTCTTTCTCTCTATCTCTTTCTCTCTCTCCCCCTCTCTCCCTTCTCTCTCTCCTTTCCCTTCTCTCTCTCTCTCTCTCTCTCTCTCTCTCTCTCTCTCTCCCCCTCTATCTTTCTCTCATCTTTATGATACCGAAGTTGGAGGCACATTGATGACACAACCATTTGAGACTCGAATCACAGCGATGAAATGACAATGACCAGAGTCTGATGATGCCGTGAGAATAGGGCTACAAACACGACTGATGTGGCGGAGACAGACATTGGTGAGACAACACTCGACGTAGCAGCCAGATGTAATGACTGTCTCGGAACGCGGAAAACAAAGCTTTTTGAGCATGATTTGTAATAACATTCTAGAAATATATCCCGCGGTCCCCATCTCACCGAAAAGGTATCATTCAAAATTTGTGTGCACTTGCAAAAGTGTAGATGAGCAAAAATACATGGGTCGGTGGCCATTCGTCACTTAAAACCAGACCCAAACACATTTGTCTTATCGTAGCAGCTTGTGTATACTACCCTCTCCATGTTATTGTTAACATTTTGAGCTGCTTTTTTCCCGTATGCTATTCCCCTAGTGTCTGCTCATCTCATGAAATATTGCGTCGGTCACGTGTCACTGCTGTGGCGCAGATACTTTGTCAATAACCAGGGCCTCTTTTTAATAATATGCCTCGGGTAAAAAGGCGAGATTTGTAAGTTTTCAAGGATAGTCAAGTCAAGGGTGGTTTAATTCTGAACAGAGTTAACGGGGAGTAAGTCCTTAGCACGCGCTCGGGTAGGGGCGGGGCCAACTTGACCCTCCCGAAGGTTTTTCCATAATGGTTTCTGAACGGCGCGGCGAAGCTGCGCCAAATTCTGCATTGTTGTAGACAATTGAATAGCAGATCGTTTGGCATCAAAGATGAGATGTACCTAGTAAGGTCGCTGACCTGTGGCAGGTCAAAGTCAGGCCATGGTTTCAGTGAAGGCAATTTCTAGGGAATCCTTCAATCTGATCCAACAACAGAGTGTTAGACGAAGCCATACATATCTGAAATGATTTCTTAGGCAACACAACAGTTGAATGAGAAAACTACATCGTCCTAAGGTCAGGTATGAAGGTCACACCAAGGTCGAAACCAACCTGTTTTATTACTCTAGAGCTTGTTGTATGGGAAAGTTTCTGGTGCTCATTTCAAGTTTATTGATAGCAGTATCCGCATTATGCACCTTCCATGGACTTCTTAGAGGTCAGAATAGGCCGTTGACATGAAATAACCTAGGTCAACATTTTGTTTTAGGAACATACTGCCTAGCGTAATCTTTGTCGCTTAGTCAGATGTAAAACTCAAGGTATTCTTGTATGATTTTGGTCACCTTGACCTTCAAAAGATCAAACAAGGTCACTGACCTTAAATGAAAATGCGACCTGTTGCTTAGGAACGGTTATCTACGTTCTGGGGGACTTTGGAGACCAACCTGTAGCTTGACCTTGTTTGACCTTTTTTGACCCGAAGGTCATAACCTAGGAATCTGAAACTTTGACCTCATTGAGTTCATGCACAGTTCAACACACCCTGTAAATTTGGTGTCTCTAACTTTCTTGGTTTCCGAGATCTCAGGGGCGGGGTGTCAAATTGACCCCCCCACCCGAGCGAAGGGTATCTAACCGGTCACCCGGGCGCCTGTTTAGGTGAAATGTCGCTCTTGTTCTTGGGCTTGTTTTACCTGTCGGGAATCTTTGGGTATTTTTATTCCTATAATCGTGTACAGATATGCCTTGAAATTCATTGGGTCCACCAACACATTGCAATGGATGTCAAGCTATAAAGAGCTGCTACACACCTCTGATTCACATATCTTTCCTGTTGGGTTGGGGCTTCCTTTATTGCGTTGGCAATATTGTCACCCTATCGAGAGTGCTAATAGGCACGCGTACGTGGTGGCGGCGATGTCATGCGTTATTTTTATCTAGGGCGCTATGTCAAGTCGAATCGCGTGGCGCTCTATCAGTTGTCGAGGATTTGCTGAAGCTTATCAATAGCTTTTAGAATTGCATTCGATACTCAACCAAGAAATCGCATTATGGAACATCGATTATCATTTTCTAGCCGACTACTTCCTCGAGACTTTTAATGTTTTTCCCGAAACTTTTACCAATTTTTCTACTTTTTGCTTCTCTAATTACAACCACTTCAAGCCCCACAGCGTCTTTTTACCCTCCATCGGCGGAGTGTGACGTCGCGCGCCTTTTTACGGTAGCCTTTTTTGCGCGGAGCCGGCTTCTTTGTGATGTGGAGCCGCGCCGGGCGCCGAGCCGACTGAGGCGGTGCCAGCTCGGGGCGCGCGCCGCCCCCGGCCGCCGTGGGCGGGGGGCGCCGCCTCAAATCGGCTTACCCGTCCAGACACCTGAGGCGGGTGCGGAGCGCTGCAGCCGAGCGCGCGCGCCGCCGCGCCGCGCACGCCTCACTCGGCGCGATGACTGCCGCCCGGCCGCCGCGGCGGCTGTCGCTGCCGCTGCCGCTGCCGCTGCCGCTGCTGGTGCTGGTGCTGCTGGCGGGCCGTGTCGGTACCATGATCGAGCCGAGACTGGACCGGCCGCGCTGGTGGGAGCCGCCGCCGACGGCGGAGGAGGCGAGCTCGCCGCCGGCGCCGCCGCCGACGCGCGACGATAGCCAGGTGGTGGGTGTGACGTCACGTGACGAGCCGCTGCCGCCGTACCTCTTCAGTCCACACGTGGTGGGACCGAAGCCGCCACCGGGCTACAGCTTTTCGGCCGGCCCGAAGCCGGCGCGCTTTCCGAAGGAGCCGCCGACCACGCAACGGACGCCGGAGCCGACGGCGACCGAGAAGAGCTTCAAAAATCTCTGGCGGGAGAAGCAGAAGCGCAGGGGAGGTGACAACACGCGCAGCAACGCCAGGTAGGTGGCTTTGTGTGTGTGTGTGTGGTTTTTTGTTGTTGTCGCGCCAGGAACTTTAGCTCAGTTGCGGTGGAATAAGGGCACTGGGAGACAGATCAGCTGCCTGGGGAACTACGCTGCGGTTAATGTGCATTCATCACGCCCGGCACAGTGTCGTGACTGCTTAAGAACATTTTTAAAACTTCTCTCGCCACAGGTCTTCAAAAGGTGTTTGAAAAGTTATGAGAAATCTCCGCTGTCAAGTTCGATGCCGCGGAACCTGCTCAGGGCTGCCTGGTGTCGGTTGAAGCCCACCGCCGTGATCCTGCAGCGGCCACGAACAGCCAGGATGCACCGCATTTATATTTGACGCTGCTTGAGTGGACCCGTCACGGTGTGCTGACCCTCCATTGAAGAGGCCAGGGGCTCTCAAGGCCGCAGTCTCGCTCGTCCATGCATCGTGGTCCGTCGGATGGTGACTGCGACACAGCACCAGGCCGCTCTCGCCACAGCTCGGCCGGTCTTTGTCGCACTGTAAAGGTGACGCTGCTTTTGGCGAGGGTCATCAGCGCGTTGGTTGCTGCTGGGACGGTGGCGTTCGATGCTCTTGCTCTTGGTGTTGCTGATTTATTTTCCTTTAGGGACAGGGAGACCTAGGAGGATTCCAACGTGAATATCTAACTTCAGGCCTGCCAAAGAAGCCATTCGTATACGTGACCTCGTTGGTGGAGTGCTATTTGGTTTCGCGTAACTCATTTCACAGTCAGCCGTTTAAATTTTACATTGCGGAATCCATGCAATGATTGCAGAAATTTGGAAAGCAATGCTGGCAGGGGTGCCTGCATTGTTCACACTTGGTGAGTTGAGTGACGTCGGAGCGGGCAGGCCAGCTCTGCGCCGCGCACCGCGGCGGAGCTCGTCAGCCGTCTCGGCGACAGGCCGCCCCGTTAGGCGGCCGTCCAGCCAGGCTCAGTGCGGAATTATTCGCCGCCGCCACGGGCGAGCAGACGGCGCGGCGCGACTCCCGGTTAGGACGTCACGGCCACTGTGCCTGACTCGAGACGGCGCCTCACCTCTCATGCTGCGTCCCCGGCCGTGTGGCGAGCGCCGGATGGCTCCTGAAACAGTGTGGCTCCGCAGCAGAATTGGGGTGAGCTCAGAGTGTGGGGTAAGATAAGCTCAGGACGTGAGTTAGATTAGCTCTTCAGACATTGAGGTGACGTGGCTCACTGGTCACGCGTCTCTCCAGCAAACTTCTCATTGTTATTCGATCCGGCAGACGAGAGACAAATAAACAACTCCGTAATGGGGCTACCGTCGAGAGACAGCCGACAGAGTCGCCCTACCTCGCTCACCGACTGCCGTGAATTGGTGCGGCAGTAATGGACGCTGATGAACGCCGCGCCAGTTAGGGCGGCTAATTGCCCAGGAGGATTTGTTTTCCATGTGCCCAGGCTCTGGAATGGTGCTGTCGGGACGTAGATGTCCGAGAATGATCTGCACGGCGCAAAAATGTTATTAGCTACCCTGTAATCTTCGTTATTTGTACTCGTGGCTCTTATCAAGATGCTGCGGTATCACGGGTGCTACCGTATATGGAACGGCACGGCCCCTTATCTCACATGAATGCATGCAATCATCCTGTCGCCACCCGGAGAGCGCTCTCCGCGTTGCCGATTGCGGGTGCCGGTATGTAAGTATGATCAACAGTGTATATATAATACAAAGGCTCACGTTCCTCATGAATTATTACGTATGAAGAACGGGGCCGCCTTGGTTTTTCACAGCGAACTGTGTTTCGTAATCTTCGCCCCAACGAAGGCATTGCGCAAAAATTTGTAATAAATGTTTTGAATTTGTTTCTCGGTATAAGTTAAGATGCAGCTCATTGTGTTCCATGTTTTATATGCGATAGCGGTGACACAATATTTGTTGGCTTCACGTCGCACAATTAAGGTCCTTTCTTAAGCATGCTCATCTCAACGGTCTAAAAATGAGCACTGGTCAGCACTCTCGGCCATACCCGAACTCATGGCCGCACCTTGCACTGTGCTCACCCAGCATCTTAACCTGCACCCAGTCAGGGGTTTAAGACCAACGCGCCCGGCTGGGGGTCCGTGAGAAAAACCGCGCCTGGCGCGGGGAGTTGACTTCCTTCCCCGGATCTCCAACTTACAGACGCCGTATGAGAAAAATAATGCTACTGGTGTAAAGATTTGGCGAAAGCGTGACAAATCTTTACCAAATTGTTGACCTCAAGTCAAATGTAAGCGACCAGCGATCAGGAAAGGAAGCAAATAAGTTCTCATAGATGAAACTAAAACCGATGTACATCTATCAAGAAGGATATTGTGGGCATGGAAATAAGCGTTAAGAGTGCGTGGAACTCATTCCAACCGTAGGATCAGGTCAGATTAGGTGACCGTTCAAAGTTGGTCTACCAGTGGCCTAAAAGAACGATAATTTTTCAGTGTGCTTCTAAGTTTAGTACATTAGATATAGCTATATATATATATATATATATATATATATATATATATATATACATATGTGGAACAAAAGTGTTCCAGACACATGAGTACCATTTTAGCCTAACCTAGAGGTCTTCTGAGGTCAACCTAAGTCAAGTTTATAAACATCCAAATGAAGAGATTTGAAGTTGTAACGGGGTCTATCTATGTCACCAGTAAAATGCTTTTGTGTGTGCATTATCCATCTACAGATACTCACGATCGCTTACCTGTTGCCTATACTTCGCATAGTACCTTTGATGCTTCGCAATGTATTTGTAGCAAGGTGAGAACAATCACGTTGGTACACAAAATTATGCGTCAACAGCCTCACAGATACGATAAAGAGGTGTTTGCACGCATCGCCCTCGTTCATATAGCCCATCCGGTACTGGTCACATGGGTCATTAACGTTTGATGACCTCGTATGACCTTGAATGTCCTCGCGTGACCTCTTGTGACGTCAAAATAAATTAGCACTTATCACGGGATGATAAGGATGCCAGATTGATACGTGACTAGGTACTGAAAATTTCGTGCTCCTGCGATTGTTTGATTTTGACCTGTGTTTGAAAACCAGCCGGCCCCCGGCCGGGCACGGCCAAATCAAACCGATTCCCCAAGGGGGGGGGGGAAGGAAGTGGAAGCGGGCTCCAGCCGTTTGAGTGCTTAGATATGTATGTGTTCAGTGAAGCTCTTCCTCGCTGCATCCTGAGTTGGACGTTTCAGCTATCAGTCTTGCACTGAGAAGCTGACTGACATTCACGGCTGCCGTGCTTTGGACGTCTTTAATCGCCCTACTTGTCACTTTTCATTCAATAGGTAATTGCGTGCCAGCATACCGTGGGTGTTCGCAGCATATTGTTAAGGATGTATGTACGTATTGACATCTCAAAACCTCCCAGTTTCTTATTTCAACGATTGTCTGGACTCTGCTGCGAATAAAAGACATTTCATTGCAGTTGTCCACGGCGAGCCTTCCAGTCACTGTCTGACTGGTCTGATTCGAGGTTAACATTTTGGTTGTGGCGTGACTTTTGTCATTGAGGATAGTTAACATGGAAATTACTGTTCATAGCATGCAGAAAAGTTTTCTGTCGCTCATCTGGCCGAAACAGTATTCATTACTGTTTGCGCAAGATAATGAAGTGAACGGCCCCTCAGTATCATGGGATGACCCTTTCATGGTGCGATTTTTTCTGCTACGAGCCTCTTTAGACTGTTTTATTTTCCGGCACAGAAGCCATAGTTGCAGCTACCTCATGCATGGTTACATCTCACTGGCACGTCCACATCTTTCATGAGACCTTGTATGGAAAGTGAACACAGCATCCCATCCAGTAATTGGTCAAATGGCCACGGTTGCGGGTTTTATCTCACTTCCCTCTGCTCACGCATTGCCGTGGGGCTAATCTAAAGAAGTTGAGGCTGTGACACTTTTCTGACACAGTCTTATGAGAAAAGGACGTAATTTACGAATTGGAATGCCTGAAGGATTGCCGGCACGGATTGATAAATGACTTTTATTGTTGGACAAACCTCAGACAAGTGCTTGCTGTATAGACGAGAATCGCCATCTATCACCAAGTTGAATTGTTTTTATCTAGGTAGTAACGAAGATATTTGTCATGCTACTGTTTTACACCTAAAACAGCTAAGAACTTCTATATATGTGTCCCTAACGCTGCATCATATGTGAACGTCAACGCAGGCAAAATGTGCATGCATGCTTGGACGAATGTCCAAGCTTGTGTCGTGGGTCCTGCCATGAATCCGTGTATACTGCCCCTCCCCCATCCGCCGCCTGTAGACGGGCCCGCTCTGCTGGCGCCGTCCCACCGCCGGCTGTAGACCGGCCCGCTCTGCTGGCGCCGTCCCACCGCCGGCTGTAGACAGGCCCGCTCTGCTGGCGTCGTCCCACCGCCGTCTGTAGATCGGCCCGCTCTGCTGACGTCGTCCCATCGCCGCCTGTAGACCGGCCCGCTCTGCTGACGCCGTCCCACCGCCGTCTGTAGACCGGCCCTCTCTGCTGGCACCTTCCGACCGACCGCACAGCTGACCCGAGCTCGAATTTGACACCGGCAGATCTGGCCCCAGCGTCCATCTGCTCTCCTCACCGCTCTGCACCCCCTACTGGAGCCAGGCTCTGCGGCCGCCGGATGTGTTTTTGTCAGCGTACTTCAAACCCGCCGTCAGGTCCAAATTCAGACTGGCTGCGACGGGCCGGTTTTTTCTCGACAATGCTTGTCACCGCGGTCGGGTGGGTCGAACGGTTTTTGTTCTGCTGACACGAACGTGCCGCAGCGGGACGCCCTGTGATTGGCACACGCGGCCGCCGCGAGGTCATGGTGCGCTATGCGGCGCGGTATCGAGACGCCAGGTGGCGGAAGATCAAAACGGCTCGCGAGGGTGTTCTCCGCCCCGGAAGGAGCTAGCCTGAGCTTACTGGGCTGGTTTACCTCCAAGAACTCACGAACTTTGTGCCTGCAGTGGGTGCAGGCTGTTCGGCGA